TTCTCCCTTGTTGTTAATTCATTTGCCTACGAAGCAACTAGTCTAGGGAGGGGCAGTCAAAGGCGGCTGGAATGAAGGTGATTAATTCATCGTGTCGTCGGAAGTGGCATTAAGACGCCTTCATATAAACGTTGTCCAAAAGGAAGTGGCACCGCCTCGCTTCACCTCTCGGGCAACCAGTCTATCTACGTATAAAAGCATTAACGGCTATATACGTATATATGCGATTGAGATATTATGGAGAGACTAAGCGTCCTTTGCGTGCCTCTAAAGAGCGACCTGCGAGTAGATGCCGAGAGGGATGTTAAGGGGTTTCCGTTCGCATGCACGCGATGCTCGACGTTGCCTGCGACTTATAGCTGCTTTTCGTATTCTTTCTATCAAAATTTTTAATTCCGTCCATATTTAACTTTTTTTTATTTCTAATTATTTAATTATAACTGTTTAGAATCAATAAGTGAATATTATGAATAAAATAAATCGATGGACGTCTCACTTCTCTCAAAAATTTTTCGACTTTTTCATTTTGTGATCGATCGAAGCTATGTTAGATTTTTTATTTTATTCGTTTGATGAAACAAAAAATGTGAGTCGCGTCTTGACATATTCCTGAAAGCAATTTGAAGATTCGTCTATGCGTTACCTATTGAGAAATTCTCGACATACCGCGAATCTCCTATGCTATTTCTGTCAAAGGCTCCGATTTAATTTCTTGTGGTTAAAGGCCATCGGTCAAAGAAAAGGGAACCGAATCAAAGCGTAAACTCGAAACTTTCGTCCATCGCAGTTCAAGTGCGAGGGTTTTCAACAGCGATACGGAGGGTGGACACGCAAAAAGACCAATGGCATTTCGTTATTGCACGCTGAAAGTAAGAAGGAAACCATAGAAGGAATCTCGTAAGGCATCGCTAACTTGTTATACGCTATGTTTTTTTCTCGAATGTTTCTCGACCTGTTTGTAGATATATTTTTGGAAACATTATTTAAATCTAATTCACATTTGCTCGCCATGATTTTTATAATTTATCTGATAAATAAAAATCTCGGTATTGATAAATATCGAGATTTTTATTTATCATAAGAGATTATAATAAGATAAATAAAAATCTCGATATTGTATAAATTATTGTATCTCGAATACCCGATGGGATATAAAATTTTATATTTTGCCGAGTATCCAAAATAATTTAATTAAAGAAGAAATTAACAAAATTTATTTTATTATAATAATATCGAGTTTTTTCTTTCAGATAAATTATAAAAAACATGAGTTAGCTTATTAAAATATTACATTTATAATTGCGATCTTATAAAATTTTATGATTTGATCAGATTTCATATGGATGAAAATTGTCATCATTGTCATGATCTGAAATGAATGAGATTTTAATTTATAATTTAGAACTGCATGATTAACGAAAAATACTGCTGCTCTACTGTATTTAAATTTAAAATGAAAGCAGATGCATTTATATATGGGAAACGACTCAAAAATGCGCTGTTTTAATCGACCGTTCGATACGATACGAGAGAAAATCGTACGAGTTCAATCGTGTAAAAGATCGATCGAAAAATTCCCATAAAAATTACACGATCGTTGCTTCGAGTGCTTAGCGACACGTGACTAATTTCGTGGCTTATGCACCAATGGATATCGGTTGGAGCCGTGTACTTTTAGTTATGCGGAAATGTATGCGACGTAACTACGTTTCAGTATATTTACTTAACGTGTTTTCTCCCAATTTAAAAATAATATTCGATACGTGCGTGCAGTAAATCCGCTATTATGATAATTGAAGTAACGTTGTTGCCCTCTAAAATCGGACGAATTTTCGATATGATCAAAGAACGAACGCTTTTAACAACAATAAATTGCTTGAACACAGATTAAAATCGAAAGTAGCTTATTTTAATTAAATTTATTTAAAATGAATAAAAAATTCAATTGATTTTATCTTTTTATTAAATGTAGAATTTTATATAGTTGCTAAAATTGTTATTTCAGCTTGCTTATATTCATCATTATATCGCATGAGTAATGGAAGTGTTTAATACTCTCTCTCTCTCTCTCTCTCTCTCTCTCTCTCTCTCTCTCGCTCTATACATTATATATAACTTTCAAACAAAACGTAGCAGCGCGTGTCAAGGATCGATAAGAAATATCATGTCTAAACTTATTAGAGCTCACGACATACGCTCGACTGATCCACGATATTGAAACCTATCTCGAAAATTCTGGCGCCACGATTAATCACCGAAGCCGCGATCGGCGGCGTTGACCCTTTTCTGTACGCTTCATGCCGCGTTTATCATCGTACTTTTCGCATGGCCGCACATTTTTCATCGCTCACGCGCATCCAGCCGAATCAACCAGCGGGCTCACTCACTGGAATAACACAAGGACGCGAATAATACGAGCCCAGAATAATTCCGGGGATAAATCAGCCTGCCTTCGTCCTTTAATATTCTCCCCGGTACTGTCCGATAATACAAAATCGCGGCATAATTTCGGTATAAATCGAGGGCGGGGGAGACCACGCGGATGGGCGGAAAACACTCTCGTCCCTTTAAAAGCCACGGGCGTTTCCTTCCTGGTGTCGGACGATAGGATTCCCCCGTGTTATACGACTTCCTTTTCATCGACAGCAACAATGGTGGTGGTGCACGTCGTCTCTCGTCGTCTCTTCAGAATCGAAGTTTGCTCTTTGTACACAGAAACACACGCGTACGCTCAGCTCACATGTGCACTCTTGTACACTCCCTTGCACGAGACACACGGAAAATACGGAAGAAGGTTGATGGATCGCAATTCACGCGATCTCTCGCGCTCATGGGCGTCGCAGAGAAGCACGATGGGATGCACTGCATCCCCTTCACTGTTTCAGACTGGAGGATCAAGTCAGCGTGAAAAATTTAACGGAGAAACTTGTAACCTATAGCCTTAGGAATGCAAACTACCTGATAAACTCATTAGGAAAGCACACCGAAGGGGTTGATGGTGAACCCCGCGAAGTCATTTTAATGAGTAAAGTACGGAAATTCATTGGGAAATAAAACATGTATGTCGAAAGTTAATATTGCTTATAGTATCTTACAATGTCTCTTTAATTGATAAATATAAGTAGAAAAGTTTCTAAGTTTCTTCTAAGAAAAGTTTTCTCATACGCCACTCTCGCTGAAACCATGTCGGCGCCCATGATTCTGTTCTTTCTGGATTCGAGAAGGGCGCACGACGAGAGAAGCAGACGCCTCTTGAGCAAACATTTTTACACTATTACGGGAATCCGAGACTAGATATTAAGCAAACGCTTACAGCTGCAGGAAATCACTCGACTCTCACCCTACGCTATTCTGTCATTCTTTCTCTCTCTTTCGAACGCTATTGAACGAGGATGATCAACGTCTGCGATTTATTCCGCGAATTTTCATCGAAAAACATGTAATACAGACGCCAGTATAAGTGACAATGCTAAATTCGATCGATATGACGCGGAATAAAATTCTCTTTTAAAAAATTGTATTGTATTTTCATACTGAAAAAAAAATGCTAAATTTTAATATTTGTTTGAATAATACTAACCAAATATTTACTGTAATTAATATTTACTGTAATTAAATGTAAATATATATATTTGGTAAGAACTATTGATTCAAGTATCATTTTTTTTGTTGAATATATATTTATTTATTGCAAATAAATGTTTCGTTAGTACTTTTTAAATAAATATTAATTAAAATTTATTATTTTTTTTTCAGTGCTGGACAAAGAATATATTTACTATTTTTTTGTTACTATTTTGTGAAATGTAGTAATGTTACAAAAGAAATATATTATTTCTCCTGTAATTAAATTAATTGATTACTACATGAGGAAGAAAAAGAAGAAAAAGAAATTTTATTACTTCAGCTTTATTGATTGCTACACGACTATTTTTATGATTTGTTTGAATTGACGTTATTGATACTTTCTGTTTTAATTCTACTCTTGCCTCGCCATAACTCTTGTCTCGCGTCATAAAATACATTTGCAGCACACCACAAATTAATCTAGATTTGTTTAGCGATATCGACCGTTTCTCTCTACCGGACGAGAGTTCGAAGAGCAATTCTGAGAGACGTGAACGCGTTTAGCCCGGACGCAGTTGATTTATCGTGGGAGAAAAGGGCGGCGCGGCAGTGAAAGAAAAGGGTAGCTTTTCGACGAGAGAACGAGGCACTTCTGTCAATTACTATCCGTCGCGTAGGTAGAACGGTGAAAACACGTTTTATTCCCTGGCAGGTCGTACGCGACGGATAGATGTCATCGCCACCCTCGAGAAGCGATTACGAGGCAAACGGCGTCCCGTCTCGGCAGCGTCCTCACCACCCTCGACAGCGCGTCCTCGATTCAACCGCATCGTCATTAAGTTACCGTCAATTAGAACAAATGCCAGGGCGAGAGCGTTCAGTATGAAAAAGCTCGCGTGCCTGTTGAAGAAAATCGGAAATGCCATTCGTCATTTGTCTACCCTTCCAAGAGAGCTTTAATTGCCCCCGCATTTACGACAGAAAGTTTGTTGAATAGATTCTTTAAAAAAAAGTTGTTACATGCACTGCAATTGATTCTATACAAAAAGTATCAAATTAATTACGTAAAAATAAATTCGCATTGATTGTTTACATTCGTTGGTACGTAAAAAAATTATTTAGCACAAATATCTAACTATAATTAAATTACAGTAATAGAATTTGTTAAAGATAACTCGAAGCTATAATTCTCTCACGATCTCTTTCTATCGCGGCATCAACGACTGTGAATAATTACTCGCGTGATACCTTTACAATCCTTGAATCAAAATAAATCGTCCACCGTAAATTGAGCCACTTTCTGTAATTAAAGGGAAAGGCCCGACTGTGTGTGAAATCTAAAAGATCTAAAAGTTATTTGACAGCCTTGATACAAACGGGAGGAGGGATATACGCGGTATCTTATGCACGGATATTCCACGGGGAGTGTCGTGACACGCGTGCACGGTCCATTCGTCTCGTTGACGATGTCCGCGTGTACGTGTGATTTACGAAGAATAGAAAAAATAATAATAAATACTAAGAGGGAGCGAGAAGAAAAAGAAAGAGAGGTACGCGATTTCTAGTACGCCATGGGGGTACGATAGGCAGGTGTCACGCCACCGCGACCCCCCAGTGCGACGATTACGACGATTACCGGAGAGTCGGCAGCTCGCGCGGGAGGGTGGAGTCGCCTTTCCGTTGACACCGCATCACGAAGCACTAACCAGGTTATTTATGCCACCTCGTAAAACTTGTGGCGTGTCTGAACACACTAGTCGCCACCACCCCGTCTCGTCCTTTCCTCGTCGCACGGGGACCAATCTCGAATGACAGAATGGGGGTGGTGCAGTCGTGCCTTCCAGGATCGCGACTGCCTGACGATGTGGACTAAGCTCGACTCGGGCTCAAAGGTTACGAGATAGGCGGCAGTAAATACGGATAGACCGACGTGTGGGATTTAATGTGAAATATCGCATGCCGACCGATACGGCGGCGATATATATTCATATATCTATAACGTTAATATGCGCAATCGTATATGCGGTGACCGCGAGAAGGGACTGCGAGTCTGGCATTTTCATGAGTTATGAGCGCCGCGCGCTATTTTTATTACGTGACGGCATATCGTCCGGTGGACGATAACCGGAATACTTTTCCAGTACGAAATATCGGTGCGCGAGAGAGAAGTTTGCGTTGAAACAACGAGCGTAAATGATTTTTTAAGAATTTGCCTATGTTAATTTTTTGAATTCTTTCGAGTGAAATCTCACGAGTGGCTTAATTTTCAATTTTTAAGAATGAGATTTCACTCTTCAGAGTAAGACTCTAAAAATTTTAAGTCCACTTTAAAGATCTATAATTTACGACCAAATTCGGAACAGAGTTCTATTTTGCGTGTCGTGTAACATAGAAAAAACATTTAAAAAGAAATAAAATTCACATGTATACAAAATATATATCAGGATACACATTTATATTTAGGATATGCGATACATAAAATTATAAGTAGAATTTTTCTTGAATTTGATCGCGAATTATGAATCGTCTGAAATGCATTTTAGAGAGAAGAATTATATCTACGAAGGGATGCAATGTACGCATATAAGATTCCTGTTTGCTGAATAGTCAAATTATTTGAGGGATCTTCTTTTTCAGTTACGATATTCGATGGAACTGGATTATGATGTGGTGGGCGTACCAGGTGGACCATCTTCTGGGATGATGGCGTTGCTACCACCGAGGGTAAACGTGTCTGCCCAAGGCGAGGTACCGGTCACTCTGCAAGTTTTCAGGATCAGATTACCGTGCTCGGGTGTCGTTAGCGCTGAAATTCCTTTAGCGCTTAGATTGAACGTCACGGCGCCGCCCGGCACTAGATACAACGACACCATCTTAGTCTTCAAGAGGAACAAGATCTGCTTGAAAGGTACGTGCAGGTGCATCTATCTATCGACACCAACTATCGGCGGTAGCATTCCGCGCGTGACGATTATGCGTGCTTGCAAACAATCGCTATGATAATTTTTAAAAATATTCACAAGGCTAATCGCGCTTTATTATTCTCGGACATGAGAAAAAGCGGGACCCTTATTTCATAATTCTTACTGCATGGAATTTTTTACCATAGTACGATCTGAAATCCTGCGTTTCTCATGGCAGCCGCGCATTAACCGACAACTAGATCCGGATCCTGGATATGATTTTTTTTTTCTATTGAAGGAACGCATTTTCTTCCGGTTGTTTTATTCAGAATCCATGAAAAGATCATAACGACGCGCGCTGTTTGTCTCACTTAAAATATGAAAATGCTAAAGTGTGAATTATTTAACTCTTCCGCTTAGTGGCGTTTTACTGGCGTAATTAACATTGTAACTCCTCTCTTCAATTCTGAATAATGTTTATGCGATTTTTTTTCCCTCCTTCCTCTTTCTCTCTCTCTCGCTCTTTCAGATTTATATTTATTTAATAACCGTAACCTCATCCCCCTTAATTAATCAATAAATTTTGTTATAATACAATATCCAAAATTGTATAAATTAAATAAATTTTTTAATAATTCATGAAACACGTTAATTAATGATTACAATATCACGCTGGCCTGGGGATTTCTGTGCCTTGTTATTTTCAATGGCGATATTGATCTACAGTGTATTATACGAAGATCCATTTCAAAGGGTAATTCTATTTAAGCTTTGTAATCTATTATATAACATACGTTACTCGTTTGTGAATGTCCTGCAATGCAAGCAGTTCGCGATGAAACTCGCTTTTGTTTATCTATACTTTAACGCCATTGCAGTGTGTTGATAATTATTTCGTTTACGTAATCTCGGATTTAATTAGCAGGTTCGCGAACCGGTTGAATATCTTCGTTACGACGAGACAGTTTCGACGCGGTCGCGATTAAAACAGAAACGCGCATTCATTTCGCGTCATGCGCAAACTCAATTTATCCACGCGATTTATAAACTCTGCTCTGAACTGATAACTTTGACGTCGTGATGTTAAACGTTTATAATGCGAATGAAAAGAATAACAATAACATTTTTCGGAATGCAAAATAAAGCAGCTGCAAGCTAATCACGTTGATATAACGATGTATTATTGAAAAGCAGTTCACATTCGGTTGTTGTTGATACGATATGAAATATGCGATGTTTTTATTAATATCATGGAGTACAATTGGTGATTACAATTTCAAAGTAGTAATTTATTTTGTAGCAAACGGCAATTAACTCGAAATATGTCGATTTTTGAGTCTTTCCTAAATAAATGTCATTTAATCGTATTATAAATGCAATTGCAAATTACGGTCGTTTAAGTAATTATGTTTAAATAATGAAATTATATATACTATGTATATGTTCAGTTTACGTTATGCGGGAGAAATGGAAATAACGGACCCGAGCGAGAGTACAAACGTAATTTCCGCGCCACTTCCGACAAGGGTGTTCGTAAGCTTGTACTCATGGTACTTCACAGGCAGCTCTCTCGTCTCCGCAAACCTCATGCGACCTCGAAAATGTATGTTTCCTGAAAAAACAAGCCACGCTGCAGCGATGAATGCAATCTGGCAAATAACCTTGATTTTCGTTTCTCTCACGCCATAATAGTTTGTCAATACTCCATACAGATTTTGTGTAATTATTAAAGCGAATTTTTCATGCAGCTTTCGAAAGAAGTTCCGCGTGATCTAAATTAGAATAATGGCGCAAGATAGTAGGTACTATTTTTTTACTTTTATTTTCTTTTTTAAATGTGAAGAAAACTAATATTGATTTCCGATAAAAAACGTGATAAAAGAGATATGAAAGAAATGCATTTTGAAATTGAAAATAATTTTTTGTATTTTATTTTATAAATTGTAAAAAGTATTGGATAGATATGGAACCAAAAATCAAATAGAGGTTTTTAAATTAATTACTTTTATTATTGTTATGTTACTACATTAATTATATATACGTTACATACGTTATCTTAAAACTTGGCGAACATTCAAGCAACTACACACCATAGTGTAATTGAATATTGCTCGTGTCGGAAAATACATGCATTTACGCGATACACAGAAAACAACCCGACGCCAGAGAATAGCGACAATAAAGAGAAAGAAACGAAGAGAAGAAAAAGAAATAGAAAAGAAAGAGCAAAGAAGAGAGAGAGAGAGAGAAAGCAGCGCAGATCCGGATCCGGTTACCGAAGCAGGCGACGGTACAACAAAAAGCAATCCGCCGAGTAAAATTGAATCTCGCCGGGGGTCGGTGTATTTAATGAAAGAGAAGAGAAGGCAGAGGATCCCACCCTCGCCGAAGATCAAGAGGGTCGGCCGCGTAGAAAAACGAAGTAGATGGACAGAGGTGCGCAGAAAGGCAGGAAGAAGGAAAATAAGTAAGCGCCTCCGCGGTGAGGACCTTAGTCGCGTCCCGAAGAGCAGATTTCCTGCTTTGTCGAATTTGCTTCTTCCTCGTTCGCTCCCGCATCGCCAAAGTACTATCCAAGCTCTGACGAGTCCTTTGGCGATCGTTTCGAGCTCGAGAGGTCCTGCTGCAATTTGAAAGCACCTCGAGATCACTCGAAAATAATCGAATTTTCTATATGGAGACTCTATACTCGATCTTCGTGTAGAATTCCATATATTGGAGAATCTGCTGTCACAAATCGAAAATAAAAGATTCAGTAATCCACACTGATTCTCTTAATCCTCAACTTCTAGCTACTTTAATATCTACAATTTTAGTCTTCGACGATTTCAATGGACTGAAAGCGTATTTAAGTTTTTTTTTTTCCATGTATTGGAACGACGATGTATATCGTTTTCAATACGTGACATTTTCTATTTTTCAGATTTTTATGCTGTTTTTAAATATTCAAATTATTTTACATCTCAAATATATTCGAAAAATGTTGACGTTTTGAATTATCGAGTATTTTTGCAAGTTTTGCAAGCGTGAGCGTGTACTATGTGAAAAAGTATCGAAAAAAAATTTCAAACGAAAGTGACGCTAGTAAAAAATTTTATCTGACGTAATCCTGGATTTACAATATTCAACATACGTGAGCGCAAAGTTTTCTTTATCTAAATTGTTCTTGATATTGAAGCGTTTTATTTCGCAGTATAAAATAAGCATATATATATATATATATATATACCAGAGCGCGGTGCACAAAAGACATAATTCTGTGATTTACGTAAGCCTCTCAGCATGACCAAATTTGTTTCTAAAGTCCACAGAGCTCGCGGCGAATAAGGGAATGCGATTCGTAGAGGGTCATCCTGTTAATCCTCCGGAGACTTAATTCTGGGCCTCCGTAAATCTCGGTTAAGGTCTGTTTGATGGTAGCAGATAGCATAGCTCGCCCGGATTTAATTGAGATACGCAGTCGCTCTTAACACGTCTTCCTGACTCCGTAGTCGCTCTTAAGTCCCGAAGTTTCGGAGGCGCGTCTCGCTTGCGCTAAGTTACGTCGATAGGTACTCCACCGTTCTTCGAGTGCTGTGAGCAACATGATCGATTACTTATCCTTGTTACGATAGCTTCGAACCATCGCATAAGATGAAGATTATGTTATCTGCTACATGATTTTTAGATGATATATTGCACAAGTGATACAAAAATCGTAATGTAGCTGGAACCAAAGAAGCAATCCTAATTCCTTGAGTTAAATAACATTTTATTATTTTTAACTTTTATATGTATGTCAAAATGTAAATCAATCCATTTCTGTGGTTGAATTGGTTATTGTTAGTTGTAAAATAAACAACATCCATATTAATGTATGCATTTAGTAAATAATAAATTAAATTGGGGAGTCAAATTCAATACATTTCTTCAGTTAAATTGTTCAACTCCATTGTTTTAATTGAATTACATATTGAGTAGGAACAATGACGATCTATAGAATTAATTAAAAATGATTTAAATTGGGTATAATTTGACGTTATAAATTTAGCAGTGTAAGCGATAAAAACGTAATGGGTACAGCAATATCATACAATAATATGTAATCTTACATAATAGATTACAAGTTGTAAGACAAAACCGAGTTGTAACTACAATGCGCGTTCAGAAAAGCTAGTAATATTACAGGAAGTATCAAGAAATATATATATTGCGAAATCTGACGTAGTTATATAATTTTAGAATTCTTTCGCAGAAATTGTGGAAATCTCTCAAAGATACTTGTTTGTATTTCGGACGCGTCGTAGCGTGTGAGAGGAACATTTTAGGAAGATGGAAGGACTCCGTGCAAAGGAACGATGCGAGTTTTGCCCCTGAGAAACTGCAGTACAGCCGCCGAAGACTGCTACGATTTATTTAACTTTTTCTTCCTGCTGCTTCCTGCGCACGTCTCATCGCGCTCGAGCAAACTCCTTCTCGTCTTGCTCGTCTTCGTAACTCGTGTTCGCGATGCTCTACTTCGACTATCACGCAACCTGCTCGGTTTACGTTATCTTGGCAAAGGCAAGAAGCCTGTTTCCTTCCTTTATGAAACGAGGAAATGAGCGAGGGAGAAAAAATAAGTTAAATGTTGTGCTTTATTGCAACCAGTAACGCATTTATTAAAAAACTGCGTTTACAATTTTTATAAAAGCGTGAAAAAGCAATGCAACAGTAAGACAAATAAAATGCAAATTGAAAAGAATATCTATTGCACAATTATTTAAACATTTGAACATCAGTTACTTCTACGATATCGTAAAGTAATTAAAAAGCATAGGAATTTAAAACATGTAATGTACAAATTCTCCAGCTGTATATGGACGGAATTATAATCGAAAGCTTCAATTAAAACAAAGATTTTTATGATAACAATGAAAGTTTCAAAGATGATATTTTTTGAAACGTGGTACATATTAATAATAATTCAATATAGCATCGATATATGATATAGCATCAATAAATAATCGATGTAATCCTTGACGGTTAACTGTTTTCTTATTTGTAGAAAGAAGAATTTCACGATAACTGTGTATTATGTCACGTCTTAATTTTCGAGGTGGAATTTTCTCACGCCGCAAGCAATGTGTATTTTTAATGCACTACGACCTACAGCTTAACGAACATTTCTGAGAGTACGTCGCAGCATTTTTTTTTTTTATTTCTGTAACCAACGTTACTTACTCGAATGAGATTGCTCTGCAACAAAAAGCTGCGGCTTTCAAATAACAATAGAGGAAAAATGTACGAGTGTTTGCTGTTAGGTCTTAAAAACATGTACTTAACTTTGATTATTGAAAGAATGCAATTAAAAAAAGTTCTGCGTTAACATTTCTCAAAATTTAAAGACATTTTACATTTCAACCTTCATTCAGCAAACGGAAGACAGCGAGAATACTATGACTTTCAAGTTAAGACTCGTAATTAAAGTTTCTATTAAATTGAAAGAGGAAAGTAACTAGGAATTTGTATAAAGAGATATGACAGTTCTGTGATGTCTTGTGTATAAGAAATAATTATTTACGCGCGAATTGTAAACGAGGAGAGAAATAGAATGTGATAATGGCGACCTTACTCGCTTATGGTATACGTAAGAAAATAAGTTGGCTGAGAATGAAGAGTTGTTTTAGATTTCAGGCAGGTAATGCCGATGAAGGAATGCATTTAGGGATTATACGACACTATAATCTCGGGGATGAGTTAAGAGTTGATGGAGTTTACTTAATTTTATCATGACGCTCCGAAAGGATGCGTCCCTTTCGTCGGCATATCCTAGTCGGGGCTGACGTGCTTGGTTCTTGAAAGCTTTTGAGCCCTCGCGCTAAAGTTCCTCCGTCTAGGCCACGTTATTTACCTTTATAAGAGACGACAAGGCGCCGCCCGTTCGATCCGAGTCTTTTCTTCTCGCAACGTGCACAAAAGGATAGAGAGAAAAGAAATATCAGAAAGCGAGGTACTGGCAGGAAAATGTAAACGCGTGATGCAACGAAGGAAAAGTCTCGACAAACTTGTCCTTTTAGACTTTCCCGCGAGAAACGAGAGAAACGCCAACTGAGTTTGACTAATTCGTCAAGATTTCTAATGAGACGTGTATTTTAATAAAGCAACATCACCATGAAAATTGCATCACAATGTAATTCGTGAAATCCGAGTGACGAGTAATGTAAAAATACTTGAAAAAATATTCTATGGATTTTACGGTCAAAATAAATTAAAAAATTCGGGGTTTTAGGTATAAAATAATAAAATATTAAATAGGAAGGATTTCAAATATATTACATTTAAATGTTATTTGTAGTTTAAGCAATTTGTGATAAAGAATAATAATCTAACGATAAGATGGTTTAATACTTATGGCACGTGGCCGTCATAGCGCGTGAGAAATCGCTATGCGAGATAAAAGTAAATTGAACGAAATTGCAATGGTGGCTATACTTGCCGGAAAATTCGTGGTTTGTGGGCAACGATTCGCCATCAAAGTGAGAGCTCTTTGAGCATTTTCCATACTTCGTTGATATTCCCGTTCAATAGTACTGCGATACGTATAAACAATGGCTCGATCAGTGTCCAAGGGTCTTCCCTCGATAGATTCGAATCTCGAGCACGTGGTTTGAGTGGAAATGCTCCAATTGACAAAATGGATTGCCGATACTATAATGGCGGTCATGCGAGTTTTGCAGATCGAATATGAATATAAAAACCTAACCGTTCAACGAAATGTGAAGAGGGTATACGCGAATTGCGTATCAATTATTTTTTTATTAAAAATAAAATTAAATTAAAGACAAATTAAATTACGTATTGACGTTGTTTATATCATATATATTATTTACTCGATATACTTCTTGTATATATAAGCTTGACGCTCGACACGCTGGAAAATTTATTTTCGGAAAAATGAAATCAATATTCTTTTTTTTTATAAATTGATTCAATTATCTTCAATTTATTTATACAATAATTGAAATTCGTTGAACGAAGCAATACTTCGTCCATTTTATTCTTATTAATAAAACTGCGTAAGATACAAAATACTGATAAAAAATATTTAATGATGTCTATATATAGACATCATTAAAAATAACTCAAATTGGGTATAAATTGACATTATAAACAGTATCGATTTATATTTACAGGTGTCGAGACTCCTCCCAGCAATGATTCGGTGCGTTTGGAACCCGATCCGCTGGCGAATGGTGCCGGTGCGCTCTACGTCGCTGCTACTTGTGCTTGCGCCTTAATTTTGGTCGTCGGCAGTGTTGCCAGCGCGTTATACATTCGCAACAGTAAGGCACGTGTTCAAGAATCACAGTAAGTAAAATTATATCAGTGAATATTATATTTGATAAGATTTAAGCAGCATTTAATAGAATACCGTGCATTTAATATTGTTGCATCTCCCATTTTCGCATTTAAACAGTCCAGATTAAAAAGATGGGGAAGTCTAAGAAATTCTAAAAGAATAAAAGATTTTTTAAATGTAAGCCAGCGGTGAATGGCTCAGTTCCGTAAATTCCTCGTCTTAATCTTTGCTTCGTTAGAATTAACAAAATGCACATTATTAAAAACGCGGTGGTAAAATAAGTAACGAGATAGTAATAAATTCGCAAAAATACATTACCAGTGAAAAGCGGTTTTTCGACGTCCGCGACAGAAAGAAAGCGACATAGCGGAATAACATGGACGCCATCCGGCTTCTCGTTCTGCCGCTTATTAAATTCACGTTTCTAAAGATCGCGCTCGGTCGCACACAAAAATAAATGCTCGAGGAAAAGATTTTCATTACGTAAGACGTCGACGTAAGACGTCGTAAATGCGGCTTTTCCACCTACCGCGGCGCTCTCATTTTTGGCGAAATCATTCGAGCGAAAAGTATCGCGGGCGCGAGTTTCGCGACGTCGTGAATTTTCTGCCGAGCATGAGAGATATACCCGACGCTACGACCGCAAAACCAGTCGAGGGGGTGCAAAGGGAGAGCGTCAGAAAGATTTCCGCACCCCCGCGGGAAATTCGCGTGGATAAGCTGGATAGGAGGAACTCGTCCGAATGAAATATCCTTTCAATAAGCCGCCAGTGATCCGTCGGTCGCTTGGCACGGCAGCCGACATTTTATTGCATAGCTATGTGCACCCCTTTTCTCGTATCCGGGATCTTCTGCGGGAGAGAATGTAAGGAGGATGTTAGAGGGGTCGAGAGGATCCGCTTTTACCTCTCTTCCCATATTCGTTGTTTTCTTTTTTGCTCGTCGACCGCTCTTTACCGCGTACATGCACAAGTCGAATCTCAAGTAGACTTAATGGTACCATTTTTTCAAATTAATAACGTATTCGATTTTCCTTCAGATTAAATTAATGTGTTTGTTCGATTTTTTTTTGAGATCACGTTGATTATTATAACACTGTTAAATAAAACTATATAGTGTCAATTTGACATTATATAACGTCAAATTGATACTATATATAGTGTCAAGTTTAATCATTGTTTTAGTATAAAATAATAATATATTGAGTAGGACCGTTGGCGACTTAAATTGGATTAAATTTGACACTATAGATTTAACAGTGCAATATTCGTAAAAATCCAGTCTTTGTTTCGTTACATTTTCATTCATATAGTCTTTTTCTTATTTTATACTTATATAGTATATATAGTATGAATTTTCATTACGATAAAATAGAATAACCTTTATGCGTGTTTCTAATTTTTTCCGTGTTTAAATACTTTAAATCCTTTTTCATCCTTTAATAGGATTGCCCCTCGTTTTCCCGTCTACTGATTGTCTTTGCCCGAATATATTGAGCCCTCTGAAAATCCTCATCATGAATTTTTCTCGTTAAACGAGCGGATCGCCATTCTAGCGCTATTCCCCTCATTAACGATGAATATTATGCGAAAACTTCTATCCGCCTCCCTTTAAAGTTCGATCATTACTTTCACTGTAATTATTTTATACTTTAGCACATCGAGTGTTCCATTCCAGTGCCTCTATTTCGAGGTGCATAACCGAGGAACTTGAATGAGATAGAAACCATGCTGCCAGGGAGTTAGGATAGAAACAAAGCTACTCTTGCTTCACTTTACTGCCATTTCCTTCCCTTCCCCTATTGTTTGTCTCAAAGAGGGAGAATTGTCTTTTACCCGGATATTTATTAGCTCTTTTGATGTTCTCCGTTGTGAATTTTTCTCGTTAAATGGTAAGGAGAGGGATTTGTTCTTTCTACGAACTTTGCTAGTATTGTTATACATTTATATCATATTTATATAAAATACTTATTGCATATCCTTTCTTTCATGATAATTAACATCATTATTTAAAAAATGTAATTATCATCGTAGAGAGAAAACTTTTCGATATACAGGTAAAGAAATAGAAAAGAATGTTTTTATTATACATAAATACTCGATAAAATTATAATTGTTTTTAAAGGACAAAAGGATCTGACTCTTATTGTTCTAATCGATCTCTATATCGGACTACGCGAAAACGCAATGCATAGGAAAATATATTACGTTGACTCCAGCGTTATTTTTCGCGAGATTGAAATATTATACACAGCGATCTGTCGCAGAATTGAAATCAATATCCCACCATGGCACTGACCGTAGCATACGAAAAAGAAAGCAACAGATGTTCGTTCGAACAAACAACACGCAATTGGTCGGTGCGTGATGCGAATGCGATCGAAAGCGATCATCCGTAACAATGTGATCTCGCATCGGAAGACATCAAATATTTATCGCATAGCAAAGTGGCCTTTATAAGGAATTCACGGGAGGGACGCACCCTTATTTTATATCATCTTTCGCTCTTCTTTCCTCCCATAGGCCAATTGTTTCTCCCAGAGTCCCGGGATATATTAGCTCTTTTGAGGCTCCCCACCCTGATAACACGCAAAGAAACGACGGGTCTTTGCTTTTCTTGATTTCTTTCTTTCTCTCTCTGCCTCTCTTTCTCCTAGCTCTCCTTACGTCTCTACGTTTCACGTACACCCTCGCCGGCGAATAAAACTGCAGATTTTACATCCGTACGCTCGAACGAACACGGCCACCCTCGTCTCTCGTAAGCCCTCCTTACTGTATCGAACTGCACGATGTACGAAAGGTGCCTTCGAGATTCGGCAAGCAGCGAAAAGTTTTCTCAGGAGTTACGCCACTCGCGAAACTCACGTCGAGACTTTGCTGCAGTCTTCCAACTTTTCGATTTCCTCCGATAAGATGTTTATTTTTTGTGCTTCGGTATTGACTCGATTAGCTTTTCCGTAATAAATATCAGATTCAGAATATACATCTACATACGTATAACATAAAGATATTCAAGATATTCGCGTACACCGTTATCTTTTACAGCTTATATTAAAAGTTAGCTCTGCTTCGAGCTGATAATATTGCGGTGAACACGTCATCGGTTTCGCCATAAATTTTCAATCGATGAAAATTTCAATGCAAATACTTGCTCGCGAGTTACAAAAGTGATATTACTTTCCGAACGACACTTTAACGTTTCTGTTCCTGGCGAGGCGAGGGCTCGCTTTCACAGGCACAGACGGATTCGTCGGAAGTCGATCTGGCCGCGAAACGTTTCCGTAAGGGTCGCGTAAAAATAAATGGGTACGAACGAGCGAACGGAGGATATTTGAAATCGATGGCTGTACGCGTTTTTCTGTCGTTCGTCTTTTTAGCGAATACGTTCGCCGGCAGATTTACATGCACAAAATGGCCAATAAATCTCTAAAAATATCCTCTTCTATTTCTCGCTGGTATTTTTCAGTCGTCATTCCATCTTTTCTTTTTTTCTTTTTCTTTTCTTCTGTGTGTTTCTGGAAACACACACATATGGTCCTTATTCTAATAAAACTGTCTGCATAAAAAATTCTTTTCTATTGCTAATATTATACATATTTAAGTCTACCATCTATTTTATTTTTTATATCTTATTTTATTTCATTTTATTTTAATTAATTTAAATGATATTTTTGTTTTTATAGAAATAATTAAAAGCTATTATATTTATATCTAAATAATCAACCCTGCATTATAAAAGAAAAGATAAGACAAAATGAATACAATTGAAAAAATAAATCAATAAAATAAAATAGAAATATAATATGAATTTAAATGTCAATCAATTAATCAAAAATATAAGAACAGTTCTTTAAGGTAAAATGGAATTGATATATGTCTTCTCGCAGAAGATCCGTTGACGGTACGAAAGAGAGAAAGACAGAGAAAGAGAGGATCATTTAGAGCTTTTCGAGAGCTCATCCGGGTCGAGATGTAAATCCTCCTAGCTAAAGATAGAGAGTGAATACTCGAGGAACTTCTTGTCGAAGATAATTCCTCGTTGACGGTTATGTAAGGGCGCAGAATGGAGTACTCTGAAATATGATAATGCACCGTTCTCCTTCCCACTTATGCCCTTCTATCTTTTGATGAGAGAAATGTATACGTCGGACTTTATAAAGTGACCGTCTATCTTATAAACGATGTTGTAATTTGAATTGCGTTTATCTCGACATATTGCTGCCTGAGTAGCCTCTCGGGGGAAAAGCTTGCTAAAAGAGCCTATTACGCGGTGATCCCCAGGCGAAATTAAAGCAGTTAAATTAGCGGTTACGGTGTAGATTTTGTGATCCTGTAACAATGAAACCTTATACACGTTTCTGAAGCATCGAATGTGTTATATTCAACAATACAATTATAACAGACTTGAATCGTACGTGGCATTTTTTTAAATGGGATAATTCTTACAATTATAACTGGACTCTATAAAATCATATAATTATTGTCGGATGGTTGAGTATAACGTAAAAGGAGATAATATTATGAATCTGAAAAATAATCTTAATTTTCCACTTGAAAACACATTACGAAGATCATCGACTAAAATAATCCTCTCGGCGACGCGACGACCAAAATTGAGGGCGAATTCCTGGATTTGTAGACTTTGCGCAGCGTTAAAATTTGTTTCAGCAAAATCGTCTCATTGTGGCGGAATCTGGAGTTTCCACAATTATACCAGCTCCCGCTTTTACGGGGCAACGCGTCTCGCGCCATTGTAACGATAATTAACCCGGGTGTAACAATCGTGCTGCTACAGAGATCCTTTCGTCCTTTCAGGAAAACTCTGCCCTGCTGCAGTTACTCCGCGGCCGACACCGGTGGCCTGGCCAGGAGTTCCGTTTTAGTTAGAGTCGACCCACGACCCGGAAGTGCGAATTCCGGAAGTTACGCTACTATCGCCGACCTCGAGCCGCTCTATGCAAGGCCATGCGGTTCCAGAGCTAGTTACTACGCGGCGAGCCACGTGACACATCTCAGCCAGGTATGCGATAATACGATTTGACAAGTAATAAGACAAATCGTCGGTTCGAAGCTATAAAACGTATACGAAATGTCAAAACTGTTATTTTCTTTTTATTATTTTTATTATACTTTTTATTATTCACATAAAATTATCGTCGTTATCTTTTAACATTATTTCATCATTATATATATTATCTTGTATAAATGAGACCTAGATTTTTAGTTTCGAAGCATTTTTTAATTAATCTAAAGCCAATTTCTTTTAAATCAATATGATCAGAATATCGATATTCTTTGAATATATTAAAATTCAAATGAGTTTTAGTTTGCTAGAGATTATAATTGAAGATTAACTAAAGATTCAATTCTTAAGATAATAAATAATAAATCACAAGGGTGCGATCACAAAACTTGAATAATTATTCAAAAATTTATGGTTTATCACTACCGTATATTATATTCCTTTCTCTTTCTTTTCGACAAAATATTAAAATTTTGTTTGTTATTTCTTTTCGCGCATACTCACGCTTCAAGATTTTTTTAATCGCAAGGAAACAGCCCGTGAAACAGACTCGACGACGGACGCGTAACTCGTATTGCGCATCAGGAAATCCGATTTTATCCCGGTCGTTCCTTCCACTTCACTATCGCGAACTCCGCGTCTGCCATCGACTACCGGAAGCGGAAGCAGCGCGAGACGACTCCTCCTCCTGTCTCATCCCGCATCCCGTCCTGTACCGTCTCGTCTCGTCCCGTATACACAACGAGTGCCGCGCCTCGCAACTTTATCGAATTTGCGGCCGAGCGAGCCGCTTTCCACGGACAACTTTGGCGCCCAACCCTTTCCAACCCTTCGGCTCTTTATTCAGCGATTCTAAACCCACCGACTTACAATTCTCATCCCTCCTTTCTGAGACATAAGGGAAAAGGTCTACGCGTGTAGTGCCTTTTTCGCTTCTCCTTCCATCTTTTGGAGCATGCTAGTCGATTTCTTTCGTTACAAGCGAACGAAATCTCTTTCTTTCCTTGCTTGCTTCTATCGTTGCTTTGACACAACTACTGATCGCGTCTTTGATCTCTTTCATATCTTTGAGTTCGCATTTGGGAAAACGAAATGTTTGGCGCATCAAGCGCTTCGTTGGTTCCGTTTCTTCAAGAAATGCCATATAATTCTTTTCGATAAAACTGGAGTTTTTAAAGGTTGTTGAAGGCTTCTGGCTAGTTATTTCGCGTTTGATTTATCAATATTAAATTAATCAAAATAGGAATGCACTTTATAAAAATTAGATTTATATATTTTATATTTTTCATATACTTAAGATACTATAATAAAAATTTCATAATTATGTTACAGACATCATGCGTCCATGAAAATATATATCATATCTTTGCGAAATTTATTATATTTATAAGACATGATTTTTATAGTCTACATAAAATAATATTTTCTGTTCAGTCAAAAAAGTACCTAGACAAATGGCTCATCGAAGAAACAAGCTGATAATTTATAGGACTATCTTTATGGGTAGATAAAGCAATTCACAGATAATTTTCGCCCGTAACGCGGCGTTTATATACACTGCGGCATTTACGAGCAAAACGCAAGTGGTAAAGGTCGATTTCAATAACCGACTACACACGCAATCGCTACGTGTCATAGTTCACCACTTCGTTTTAACTACCGTTTTGAAGCACGTGCTATTACCCGCCGCCATCCTCCAAAGAGTATCTTCCTGTAAAGTGCGCAGTCAAAGACTGGAACGAGGGTCGCGTGAAAATGTCGAATAAATATGAGATCGCGTTGCCGGAGCGCTGCTCGCGCTATTCTCCTTCGGAACAAGCGTTTTGCATTAATTTCCCCGGGAAAAGAACCGCTGGTTCTGGATACCACCTAGACTTTGTCGGGCGTGAAAGACAGAGAGAGGGAGAATGCATCTGCAGGCAGGTTACACACACACGCATGCACACACACGCGCGCGCGCGCGCGGTGGGGGGTTACAGCAGCCTCCAACGTTAACGACACTCGTCCTCCTCAGACGTGGTGCGTACCGAAAGGAGGAGGATGCGAGAGGGTGAGGTTCGGCAGCGAAGGAAACAGCAGAGAGAGAGAGAGAGAGCGGGAGGAGGAGAGAGAAGGAGTGGTTGGAAGTGGGTCCTGTGATTGTTTCGGCTTTGATCTTGGATCAATTTACCGGGTACACGCGCGTATGTGCCTGAACCCTCCACAGAGGCGACCTCAGGGTGCGCATACCGCCTACAGTTTACGCTCACGTACGTACGTCGAGCACGTACGCACGTACACCGACCGATTGATGTAGCCATGAACCTTCGTGAAAACCTTACCCTCTTCGCGTCCCCAGCCATCCCGGGGGCGTCTCACGAACCGACCGACCGACTGACGTAATCCAGCGACAGCGTCTTACCCCACCCTGTAAAACGATACGCTTGAGATCCCATTGCTGGGGAAGCCATTACCTGACGCTGTCTATCAGAGAAAACGATCTTCAGCACGAAGACAAACACACGTTCTCTTTCCTCCTGGATCTAACGTCGTGGATTTCCACGCGAGAGAGTCGGGCGCAACGAAATGGCGGAATGGCCTGACGATCCGGTATTTTCCACATGGCCTGCGCAGGGACACCAATACTCGGGGTTTTTTTTTCCTCGTAACAGTTGCGAGTACTTCCCTTGAGATAATCGCGATCGAGATAACCGGCCCGCGTGTTTGTGGTATTTTGTTTGATCTTCCCATTTTGTACTCGTAATAGCGAACAGTTATAATATTTATCTAATAACTTATTTCATCCTTTTTAATTCTTTATAGAACTAAAAAAGAATGAAAAGTTAATTAAACCAACATTAAAATTAATTACATTGATAAAAACGGGATTAAGATGCCAGTTAATTTATGATTAGGTTTAACCTAATAATAACATAAAATTTTTTTTTCTATCTATGATTAATCACTAAACTAATGGTTTTGTAGTGAATAACTTTCAAAGTTACCACTACAAAACCATTAATTTAGTGATTAATCGTAACTAGAAAATCACTTTTACAAATGAAATCAGTTTTTACATTATCAAGTTTGTAAGTCTAAACCACAAATTAACTAGATAATAAAAAACCGGGCCTAAGAAGTCTAATTCTCTACGTATAATTTGACTACTGCATTATTTTTCTACGAAGGAAGTTTTGTTCGAATTACATAGATCTATTCGTTGCTTGCACTTTTTGCATTCAACCTCTTCGTTTTTTTTCTTGAACGTCTGAATATATATTTATCTCATTTTAAATGCAAAAATTTGTGAGGACTTTAAACCACGCAAACAGACCTACTGTTTTAAAAATATTACAAAAAAAGATATAATACATAAATAAAAAAAATAAATTTCTAAAAGAATTTTATATTCAAAATTTTGTTTTCCTATTAACGCGTCCAACAGCTAAGTTGGTGTTGAATGCAACAGTTACCTTACAAAAAAAACTAGCATCTAACACTAGGCCTGTTCTTTTTGGCTGAACTTTTGCACCAGTTCATCTTTCTTCCTTTTCTCTCCAGGAGGAAAGAAGAGGAAGAAAGATGAACTGGCACAAAAGTTCAACCAAAAAGAACAAGCCTATTGTTAAATTTATGGTATCAAATTTAACCTAACGTGAGTCGCCGCTGCTTCTATTCAATCACGTTGTTATTTTAGACTAAAACAATGGTAATAGTTGACACTATACAGTGTCAATTTGACACTGTATAGTGTCAAACTTAACTATTACTTTGGTAAAAAATAACGATATATTTAGTAGGAGCAGTGGCGACTCACGTTAGATTAAATTTGACATTATAGATTTAACAGTGAACAGTTTATCTTGTAAACCAATTGAGGCAATGCCGTATACCATGACGGTAATAATCTTCAGCGAATTGAAGACATATAATCATTGAAGATAATAATAGAATTACAAAAGTTCAGACGTCGCGTCGGCAATTGGCGCCGTTGAGTTATCACTTACTTCATATATCGTGTTATATTAACGTTAACGGTCGCGTTATATTAGTTACGCGGGGTTACGTAAAAGCTGATTCTTCGATTTAATTAATTCTCGCGGAGTTCCGTTCCGTCGTGCCGAAGCGCCGCTTTAATCGAGGGAGATGGAAAACCGTATTATTAAATCGGCGGGGTCGAATTAAAAGTGCTGTGGGCATGTCGAGCATGGTAGTCTGAAAACGAAGCTTTTAGAGCGCCTTCAGCGGGTCGAACGAACGAACGAACGAACGAATGAGTGAACGAACGAACGTGATGTTTGACGAAAGCCTTTCAGTAAATAAATCAAATTGCTGCTCCGCGCTGGATGAGCTAAAAACGCTCTGTCCGTGGCGCTATATGGTCGATACTATGATTCTGATTCCGTAATGTAAATAGCGAAGTAATATCCATTACTAGATGGACGAAAAATTTCGGATAGTTGCCTGATCAAACGGCAAAACGTTTCTTCTATTTTTCTGCTTTGATAAATAAGTAATATGAAATGAAATATTCGATTTCAAATCGAAGTTATGATTTTTCTTTAATTTAAAACGTTGGCATGAATTGTTAACTTAATAATAATAATAATAACAACAACTTTAGTGGATGCAAATAATAAAAAGACATATTGAATAACACATACGTAAATATGATATAAATAAAGATATTAATTACAGACAAAAAGAGAGGCTGCAGCTAAATGGTGATTTGATTCCTAGTCTGAGTAATATTCAACAGCTTGATTAATAAATAAATTAATGTAAACAATAAGCAGAAGGTATTATAAACATTCGCAATATAAATATAAATTGTATATAATAGTTAGAAAACATATGAAGAATTGGAACAAAAGTAATATTATAATACAATAATCGGTTTATTTTGCTTGTATATTGATGTACTTCTCGGAACTACCAATATTAATTAATAGCGATCAATTTTTTGCTGAATGCAATGGTCATTTAATCATGCAACGTAATATTTGATTAAAAATTATTTCAAGTTTTAGATTAACCATGTTAAAGAATTACTAAAAAGAATACATATAAAAAAACTTTAATTCTTAATTCTAATCTAATTTATATTTATAGCTTCGTTACGCAACACAACGAATTCCATTCGCACCTTTAACACGTCGAGCGGTCCCCGCCCAGCAATTTCCACCTCGCTCATCACATTTTCATCGGAAAACGAAAAAAAAGCACACGCGAGCGCATACATAGGCATCCAAACCGCATGGGGAAAAAAGAAGAAAATATAACCGCGAGGGAAAGCGAAATAGACGAATCGCGATCCGTCCGCGTTCAGGCTTTCCCGTTGTTCGTGCGAAAACAACGTTCGCCAGACGCGCCGACACAATTCGCCTCTGCAATAATCACAGACCCCGATAAGCCGCGGAATTAGCCGCGGTGTTTGCATTTTCACCGAGCATCCCGCGCTATCCGGGAATTTCGTAAATAATTTCCGAGACCACTCCGGACCAATCCCCGGAATCAACCCCGGAACGGCGTTACCGACCATTCGAATTGCCGCCGCCGTCGCGCACCCCCTTTCTCGAATCCAATATATCGCCGGTAATTTCGCGGCGCGGTCGCATCGACGTGTTTCGAACTGGTTTTACGTCGTCTCCTTTCCTTTTTTTTCTCTTCATTTTTCCCCGCCATGTCTCCATCCTGTTTCTCCACCCGCCGCTCGTTTCCGTTTATACATGGGCGTGCGCGTGTGCGTACGTCTAAATGGAACGGGCGGGGGCCGAAGGCAAAACTCCGGAAAATTGAAATTAATGAATAGTCACCCCTCCCGTGCGCGCGTTCGCGTAGCTTTCTCGCGTTTTACGTCGACTCCGATGGAAATCCGCCTGGCGAACAAAGAGGACCGCGGGGCGATGCCATAACGACCCTCGGGGGGAGGATTCTTCCCTGCGCGTCCCCGGAGGACCCGCGCGAGGTCTCGTCGGCGTCACCTTACACACGACAAATGCCTTTTTAATGAATCCCCGACTGATGAGGTTCTTTTTTCAGAAGTTATGAATTATGCAGGCGCGCCAATGCGCAATTGAGATTTTAAACGACAGCAGGGCTGGGGTTGTTAACTACTAATATATATATAAGTAATCACGTAGTTTACTCATTTCACATCGAGAGATAACAATTGCATTTTTCATCCTTTGTCTTTTGCAATTTTTTTTGGAGAGAGAAACTATTCTTCATATTAACAAATCAAATAAGCAGAAAAGGTCTGTCGAGAGGCTAAATATTGTGCTGTCTGATAATATTTTTATGTATTATAAATTTTCAATCTATCTTTCAATTATATGAACTGTTATATAAAAATATTATCACCCAGTGGTCAAATTAGAAAAACATTCACCTTGGATAATCAGGAAATTTGAATCCTGGCTGAGATAACATTTTTTTAGATGGTTCCTCTGCCTACAAATTCCTTTTGCCTACAAATCGATTGCCTACGGCATCGTTATGCTACATCACTTTTGTCGATAGTTTGCGCACAAAAATTACTGCCTACAACTCGATTACCTACATGCACTTTTGCACACAAATATTATATAAAATTAAGATTAAGTTAAGTAAGAAAATAATATGTATTTTTAAAACAAAGAATTTGTGTTTAAAGCAGAGAATTTGTTTTAAAACAGAGAATTCGTGTTTTTAAGCCAGAAAATAATACATGTAGGCAATCGAGCTGTAGGCGATAATATATGTAGACAATCAAGCTGTAGACAACAATGTATATAGGCAATCGAACTGTAGGCAATAATACATGTAGGCAGTCGAGCAGTAGACAATAATACATGTAGGCAAATGTGACTTTGTTTCTGAAATTTTTATTTGTGCGCAAAAGTGCATGTTGGCAATCGAACTGTAGGCAATAATTTTTGTGCGCCAATGAATTGTCAGCAAAAGTGATGTACACAAACGATGCTGTAGGCAATCGATTTGTAGATAAACCGGATCCTCCCACATTTTTTGCAATAAGTTCTTTATAATGTTTTAAGATACTAGCTAATATAATAGCATTATTAGCAAATCGATGATCAATTTAATTTATAATTGCGTCTTAAATCCGACATTAATTGGCCCACAGTTCATAACTGAAAGATGTATTTAAAATTTACATAAAAATATATGTATTATTAAGCAGCAATAGTCTTAATCGTGTTTAGTGCTTTTTTTACTTATTCGATTTATTCATACAATGATCTTGTTTAATTTATTATTGCTTCTTCTTATTGTTATTGTTATTATTACCGAAAGTTCAAATTTTTATTTAGTAAATTCATCAGTAAAGGAGAAGAAATTTTCGAGGGTTTCGCTATCGCTCAGAGATCGTTTTATTTCTATGTTTTATGTATTTTTTTTCATAGAAACCGAAAATAATATAATCATTATAATACGCCAGACTTAAGGAAAAATTGGTATATCGAAATAAAATGAATAAAATCCTTATTCGTATCGTTATAAAATTACTGTCAGTTATGTTTCAATAATTTATTTATGAAATTAATTCCACATTGGATCAAATGCGAATAATATTGCACCACAAAACGTTAATTAGATTATATTTTTTATTATAACATTTGTCATCTCGCACTTCAAGCGTCATGCATTATTTGGAGTGGAGGAAACGGTACCGAGATGACAAATGTTATAATTAAAAATATAATCTAATTAACGTTTTGTGATGCAATATTATTTGCATTTGATCCAATTTGGAATTATTATAAATTCATAAATAAATTATTGAAATATAACTGACAGTGATTTTATAATATAACGATGCGATTAAGGATTTTATTCATTTTATTTCGATATACTAATTTTTCTTTAAGTCTAGTGTTATTATAATGATTATTTTCTTTCGGTTTCTATGAAGAAAAATACATAAGAAAACATAGAAATAAAACAATCTCCGAGCAGTATCGAAACCCTCGAAAATTTCTACCCTCCTTTATTTATTATACCTATGTATTTATAATATCCTCTTAACACATTTTTTTATTTTTATCGGATTGATGGCATTTCTTTAAAGGATACGTATTATGGATTTTTAGTCGACCGATCCGTGTGAGAAGGCCAGAGCACTCGCAGTCTCGAGATCGGCGTTATACTGTCGTACTCTCGTGCAGGAAGGGACTTTCGGTCGCGTATACAAAGGAACTTTGGAATTAGCTGGACGGGAGCAAGAAGTTATCATAAAAACAGTTACAGGTAAGACTTATTATTAGTTAAAAAATAATGTTAAATGATCATTCACAATGCAAGTCGCATTTATTGTGATTATAGATTTTTATAGGAATGCATTGTTTTGTTGGTTGAAATTTTCAATTTAGTGAAAAATAATTTAACGAAAATTTATAAAAAATTATAATTTCCTCATACATTTTTTTTAGAAAAAAATTATAATGCATCAAGAGAATATCTATTCAAGATAAGATAGAAAGTTATTATATCCACTATCGGCTATCCATGATTCTACATGGTTGAATTAATATTTAGTAAATATAAAATTAAATAATTACAACTCGATTTTTATGCGTTATTCTGTTGTATAATTCATTTACAAACGTTTATGAAGTGATTTTTATTTGGATACACACACATACACATACACACAAAGCTTTAACTTTTGCTTTAGCAAAGCAAAAGAGATAAGTCTACTTCATTGAAAAAACAATTATAAAATCACACGTTTATTTAAACAAAATAATTTCAACTACAATTTTGAACTCTAATTTTATTTATTTTAGTTAGTTATTGAATGCATTATCAATTGTTAAAAATAAATAGTTTTAGGACGAGAAAAATAGTTTTCCGATAAAACAAATCTTTCTGATTAACATGTGGTCGCTTTAATTAAACTATCACTGATACTCGATAATACTGTTTGTTTTAGAGGTAGCATCCGCTTACCAAGCTTCTCTTTTGGTGGTGGAAGGCTCGCAACTGGCTGGATTAGTTCATACAAACATCGCCTCTTTGGCGGCCGCTTGTCTGGACAGTTCATGTCCTTTGCTGGCTTATACAAGCACGCCTGGTGAGCTTAACCTGAAGGTCTACCTTACGGATGGAAATCACCATCCCGTGACTAGAGACTTGGTGCATGTTGGTGCGCAGGTTGCTCGAGCTGGCGCGTTTCTTCATGGGCGAGGTCTACTGCACAGGTAAATTGGCCTGTAAAATATCATCTACGTCTCTATATAAAATCAGTAACAAATAAATTTTATCGCGTGTTATCACAAATTATCACATTCTTTTCTAGTTCAAGCGTAAGTAATTTTTTAGCTTAAAATAAAAACATAATAGTTTGTTATTTAACAAATTTCTCACAGAATAATATAAATTATTATATCACAACTAAACTTATTTTTATATAATTAATAATTATATTATTAAATCAGGCGTAAATTTGGTTAAAATCTATCTATCTATTTTATTTGAATAAATAATAAAATAGATTATTAGTTGCGATTATCAGAGCTACCATTAAAGATAATGTTATGATTCCTCGCGGTATACATACAAGATTGTCTACACATAGCTCTTACCGAAATGTCAACGATAATTTTCATTGTAAAATCGATAATTTCTAGGGATATTGCTGCCAGAAATTGCATAATCGAACCAGGTAGTCTTCGTGTGAGACTAGCTGACGCTGCCCTGGCTCGGGATCTCTTCCCTCAGGACTATCATTGTCTCGGTGATAACGAGAACCGACCCATACGCTGGATGGCCCTAGAGAGTCTCCAGCGTAACGAATACAGTACGGCAACCGACGTGGTACGATTCCAATTTATATACGCAGACAAATCGAAACTGTGTTGCTTTTTTTCGAAAAAATATCTTGGCAAATCTTAATAAGTATATTTAAACATATTTCTATGGACTAATATATAATTAGATTTTCTAAAGAGTAAAATGTTTCTAAAGAGACTTATGGATTAAAAGTTGAGATTAAAAAGTTATAGATTTAAAATGAATCGTAAGTGACGCTTCTTCGTATTTTGTTGATTTATTTAAATAAACGGTTTTGTTTTTAATCTTAATAGAATCATAGATTGTTTTGTATTTATTATAATTTTATATATTATAAAATTACGCTTTAAGATATATAAAGAATTACAAAAAATGCGTATTAAAACAGAATTTATGTTCCGAATAATTAAAAAATAGAAGTTGTATGCCATCGTAGTACATTAAATCATTCTAAACAAAAATTAAATCATTTTACACAAAAAGATAATCCTCTAATGAGGTATTTTCTTTGCTTCCAAGTGGGCCTTCGGGGTATTCCTATGGGAATTGGCGACACTGGGTCAACAGCCGTACGTAGAAGTAGACCCATTCGAGATGATGGCGTGTCTCCGAGACGGATATCGGCTCGCTCAACCGAGACCTTGTCCCGATGAGCTCTTCGCCTGTATGGAAGCCTGCTGGCTCAGTCCCCCCAGGGATCGACCAACTATGCCGCAGCTGCTCGCCTATTTGCAAGATTTCCACGATGCGCTGGGTGGATTTATTTAAATCGTCTGTCCGCGAACTGACTTGGCCTCGTTCGAAAAATGAGCGCGTCGTCGTTGACTCAAATTTAACGATTGCACACAGCTGATTAAAATCTTTTAGAATCGTATCGTAAGTTGCGAATGGTCGAATGGAAAAAACTACTGCGGTCCGAAATGCCCATTTCATAACGCGGAAAGTACGTCCAATAAGTTCGCAATCAAATTGAAAGTTCGAAGGAAGAATAGAATCAAAGTCGCATGGAATTGAATGTCGCTGCCCATTTGCAACACACTGCCCTTATCAATAAATATATCCGATGCAATTTAAATTGTTGTAACTATGATGCGTACTGATAATTATATTTACTGATAATCATATACTTACCCCAGTTGATCATGAATCAAAGTAGAATATCGTCGTCCTTTAATTGGCGAAAGGAGTCGCATAAAAATCGACACGGACACATCCGTCCATAGTAGTTAAACGCACGTATATGAATTTTCAAATCTCGTATTTGAGCGATTCACCCAAAATGCCAATTAATATTATGCGGAAGAGCCTTATCTTCGAAATGCGGAAACAGATCTTTTTTTTTTAGTTCCTGAGTTAAGAAAACAAATACAAACTGCCAATTCATAGTGAAATAATGAAGAAATTAAAGAAGTTAAATGCGCGATATGAAGAAGCCATCAAATATGTAGGTGATTTTTTGTACAAGACTTATTCAAATTAATATTTATTATAACATGGATTCAAAAATCACATATAACAAACACGTAGCTAATTTCTGTGGATGATATTTCACAGGTAACTTGCTAACAATAGCGATTGTTCCTAATATATATCCTCCCTCCTTTCAAGAAAATTTCATTTCACTTGGTTAATTTCATTTGAAAATGTATTTTACAAAGATCTTATAATTCATAGATGTGCGTCTTTTACCTGCGCCAACCATACAGTCTGGGTGCAAAATGCGCCTGCGGCGCGGCTATTCTTTATCCTTTCGACGCTGTTAGAACACAGGATTCAGGCGACTGAATAGAAATTCTATCGCTCCTTCCATCTGTATTAATTAGCGTCTGTAAAGACCGCTGTCTTAACGCACATAAATTTAGAATTACTTAATTTAATTTAATAAGTGGAGAAAAGATATGTGCATTCAGTTCAGTGTGGTAGCTTCTTGGCTTCTTCAGTGAAAATTTCACGAGAATTGAAATGAGAAAAATGGTTGAGACAAAATAAATTTATAAAATTATTGTAAGGAAATGCATATTGCAAGAGTATACGCTTTTTAAATTCGTGTTAACGTACATCTAGGAAATAAAAAATGTGGGAGCGAAAGTAAAATGTAAAAGATTGATAAATCTTTTTTAAGCATTCGCGCTATGGGAAAATTGTGTGTTTGATATTAAAATATTATAAAATATTACAGATCAAAATTATTACATGGAAAATTCTAATATCCTCTAGTGACAGGATAATTTTATATTCTTGAGACTATGACAATATTAATATACTAATAAAATTATGTAATGTGTTGATATACACGTACATGTACACGCATTCGTTACATAAGACGGCTGTAAATGTGCAAGATCGGTTAATTAGGTCAGACTGTTTCATTCATTCTCCGCTTTACGAGCGTTTGCGCCACAATCAGACTTGCATGTTTTTCCGTCAAACCACGCAAGTTTTCCGCTACGAAAATTATTTTTACGAACGTCACATAAACCGTTCAAGAAAGGCTCACGCGTATACATGACCCGATCAGGCCGCTCGATCATTATTCATTAACAATCGCAATTGCGCAATCTCGAATAATCGTGACCGGAACGACGGAGAGTGCAAAAGCAAAGCTCCGAACGCTTAAGAATTCCATTGTTGTATATGATCTTCGATGAACATGCTCTGTTCCGTAAATGGGCGGTCGAACTGTACGTACTTTGTAGTTAGGTATCTATTAGTTACACTGCGAAAAGCCATTTCGAATTCCTGTTGACTCGCGCCGACAACAAGCTCGAATCTTGCAAAATCGATGCTGGATCTTAATGTCAGGTCTCGGGAAAATGGCCCCGCGCACAAAATTATCTCAATTCCTACCTCGACGCTCGATCCTTTCGATTGCACCGCCAACTCGCAATGATCTCTCGTTTTGACAAAGTCCTATGACGTGTTAAGTAATCGAACAATAATATTCATTAAAAGTAAAAGCAGAAATGCTTAGTTCGATAGGATTATTTGTCGAAAAATAATGCTACGGTTCCAGAACATCTTCGCAAATTGTTGTCGTCATTATTGACATCTGTCTACAACTAACATTGCGAATGTACGCTGACATAACTAACTTTTATATACAATAATAGATATTGATTAAAGCTAGAACTGAAATTACTTATACATTTTATTCGGTATGCAAAAAAATATACGCGTCTACATTTTATATTTTAGATTGCTAAATGGTGATCACATTGCTAAAGGATGATTTATATCTTTTTAATTGATTTTAAGAAATATTTCATCATTAAATCGATATTTAACATTTCTCCGTTTGAATTTTTGTAAGATGTTATTTTATTGTTTGTTGTAAATAAAATTACCACAGATGTCAGCGACGAACACGGTGAAAGGTTTCGCCGTGACATTTCCATCGTAGAAAGACATTACCGAAGGAAATGGAGTTAGAACCTGCTAGCCGGCTGCTTCTCGATTAAAAGATATAATTAACACGTTTACTTTTACGTTATAAAAAATAATAAGAATCTTTATATTAATTACTTTATTTCATTTACACTATATAAAGCTATATGCCTAAATACTATTTTTACTGCCGAAGTTTTAATGTGCAAGGTGAATCTTTCTGCTATATCATTGTTACAGTCATTAAAACATTATACTACATTATATACATTATACGAGTACATAATGTTGACAAAGCTCGTAATTGTATTAGTATATAATGTTGACAAAGCACGTAATTATATCAGTTCAATTGCGCTTATTCCATATCTTTTCTGTTGTAAGCGCAATTGCGCAAGTACCTAACAGCTAAACTAGTAAGGTGTACGAACGACACGAGGGACTAGAAAACACGTTTATCGATGTATTAAACATGCAATACTGATCTCACAGGATAAAATTAAACTGTACAGGAGAGTCATATTGCAGCATGTGTACCAGGATATCCTAGATTCACCTTTCCTTTTAATGGCAGATTCTTTTAAGGTTAGATAAGAAAATACGACGTCAATTAATATCGAACGTTAAATTTCCATTTCGTTTTAATATTAAATATTTCTTTCATTAGGTTCTGAACTTCTAGTAAATTAATTTTGAAACCGATTATTACCTATTTACATTTTCGAAGTTTATAGTTCTGTTAAAAGGCAAGACGACAGATACTTAATTTTTTTATAATAAAACTCCAATGACTGTTAAATAATATGCATTAAGAGCGGAAGCTGAAACGTTTAAATTACTCCATGGGATTGTTTGTTGAGAGAAAATGCGATAGTTACAGAATATACAGAGTGATTCGTATAAAGTGATCGATGTAATTATTAGCGAAATTTGAAGATATAAAAAAGTAGTTTTATACTAACGTATTCAGTATAAAAGGGGACATTATGTAGTGGAAAGGATTATTTTATGGGTGGAAGCGTTGGAGACGCTTTTAAGGTCAACTTCGTTCTTTAAAATGTAGCTATATGAAATTTTTTACATAACATGATTTCTCTAATTATTCTACATATAAATAGAGATAGAGGTATTAAAAAACCAATCATTTACGAGATATATTATACTTTATTCTGGCACATATTGACATAAAATGTTAAATAACTCGTAAACTATTAATTTTTTGACAATCGTATCTTAATACTTTTATGAACAAAATAAAGAAACGAATTAGTTGGTGTAAAGAAAACACATAGTTGCTTTAAAAAAATATGTGAGCAAAATGGATAATTTTTTAAATAAGCAATTATGTGTTTTCTTTACACCAAATAATTCATTTCATTATTCTATTCATAAAAGTACGTGGATGATTCCAGTCAAATCGGGACTTTTATTCTTATATTCATAAGACTTTGACTTAAACCATCCACGTATTAAAATATAATTATTAAGAAAAGAGTAATTTACGAGAGTTATTTAACATTTTGTATTAATATGTGCCAGAATAAAGTATAACATATCTCGCAAACTATTGGTTTTCTAATACCTTTATCTTAATACCTTTATATGCAGAATAATTAAAGAGGAGTCATATTGCGTAACAAAATTTACTATAGTTTAATTCATAAAATTCTATTTTAAAAAATGAAATTGACTTTGAAATGTCCCCAATGCCTCCATCCATAAAATAATTGTTTCCACTATATGATGTTACCCTTTTTACTGAACACACTGAAGAAACTACTTGTTCATATATCTTCAAATTTTACTAATAATTAAATCGGTCACTTTATACGAATCACTCCGTATTCGTAAACTCGCGATGTCCCGCATTCATTAAAATTATTTATTCGTATCTGTCCGCGTTTGTTTTTTTAATCTAGATCCGGCTTTATATCCAGCGAGTAACAGGTGCAAATCGAACGAGCGAAGATTACACATTTGCGGCGCGAGGCATACGTAAGACACTTTTAAATGTACTCGATGTATACTAAATGTCGCATGTTCCTGACCACGACCAGAAACTTTATCGCACTCGTCTTTTACTCGTCGTTTCCTGCCCCTTCCCTCTAATCTGCTCTGTCAATTTATCGTGCAAACGTTACGGGAACGACTCACGACTCGTCTCGTACTGCTGCCAGGCGCATCTACTAATTATCGATATTGCTATTTAATAACTACCGCTCGCTACTATTTATTGCAACGCTCTAAAGTCGTGCGTTTCAAGAAATCGTCGGATTCTATAATGTATTCGTGAATGTCTTTGAATGGAGGAACAGGGTAGGCTGTAACTGCACACTTTTTCGCTATCGCTGTATAATGGAATCGCTGCTCGTTTCCGTGCGATCGTACGTATATATTCTCTTTTCTCATAATCACTATTCCTTCCCTGTTAAGAAAGAAAATCCGGTGGCGCTGAGGATGCGGTCGTTTCCGCTTTAATATCATGTCCTCGCCTTGAGGAATAAAAAACTCCTCTTCGGACGACAGTTCCAGTCATTGTAAATATTTGTAGCGAATAACAGCGGTGCGCAACGCGTGAAAGAAAGAAAATGAGAGAAAGAGAGTGAGTGAGAAAGAGAGAAAGAAAGAGAGAGAGTTGATTTGTGCAGATTCTATTATTTCTTACGACAATTTACGGCATTATTTTTCAACGGAAAGTGAAATATACGTGTTAAAAAAATATTAATCCTTCACGAGGTTTCATGTTATTCCTCTTCGTTTTTTAGCTGATAATTTTTGAAAGAATTAAGGGGATCCTAAAGCCGTCTCTGTGTGTGTATTATCAATTCAATAGGACTTATACACATACGAATTATGTGTCATTGACATATCACTACACACTATTACATCAATATTGCACGTACATTATATACGTATAAATTTTCTAACTAATATAAAATTATATTAGAGAGGTATATAAGTCTATAATTCTAAGAGAGAGAGAGAGAGAGAGAGAGAGAGAATGCAACATTTTTTTGTTCATGTAATTCCTAGTCCAAACCAAGATTGTTTTATGTGTACAAAGTACAAAACTTGTATATGAACAAATATTGTTGCGAGTTGACGTCAGAAGCCGATAACAAAACTATAATTTTCCAACTTTTTTCCGTTTTTAACACAAGGTCGATCAGTTTGGACTACAATATCGCTTATACTTTAA